AAGAGTCCGTGGTAACTGAAAATTTACATTTTTTTGTGCCTTTAATCGACGTTTTTCATAAATATTCACACAGAAATGAGTTCTTTAATGGCCATGAAATGTATTGAGCCAAAACAAAATGGTATTAAAATTCACAAACCTGAGGAAAAATGCAAGTTTCTTCATTTTGATTATTTTGACGAGAGCCTGATTCCACCATGCTGCCTCAAATATTAAAAAAAAAGAACATGACATAATGTAATCCCCCACCTTGTTCTTCAGCATGCCACTGTTGCTGATGACGTTCTTGAAGATGTGCTTCCCCACGTGTGTGTCCACAGCGCTGAGCGGGTCATCGAACAGGTAGACGTCGGCGTCATAGTACACGGCCCGAGCCAGGGACACGCGCTGTTTCTGACCGCCGGACATGTTGGTGCCCTGTGGGACACAACGAGCAGGGTGACAGGACAGTGGTACACACGTAATGGGGTGCGTTTTTCAAATGTAGTTGCTGTTGTTGTTTAGTTTTAGAACGTGTTTTACGGCACTTGCAACACAATACCGTCATATAAGTGTCGAAGAATAGATTATGTGTTACAAGAGAGTAACATACTCAAAAAAGAAGGGGGAGATAAGGAGGACAGATGTTTGATAGGAAAGATGGAGCAAACCACTCCAGAGCACCCGCCAACCACACAACAAGGAGGGTGAGAGGACAATGGCACACACGTAATAGGGTGCGTTTTTCTAATGTTGTTGTTGTTGTTGTTGTTGTTGTTGTTGTTGTTGTTGTTACCGTTTTTGGTGGTGGCGGTAGGGTGTAGTTGTTGTTGTTGGTGGTGGTAATGATGGTTTTTGTTGTTGTTGTTGTAGCTGTTGCTGGTGGTGGTGTAATATTTTGATTGTTGTTATCTTTGTGACGGTAGCGGTGGCTGTTGTTGTTGCTTTGATTGTTGTTGTTGTAATCGAGATATTGTTGGTTTGGTAACTCTCATTGTTGTTGCTACTGTTTAGATAATGGTAGGGATTGTTCTTTTTGTTGCTGCTGCTGTTGATGTTTAACGATCGCCTAGGCACAGCGTCGGGTTGCTTTGTCTTTTTTAAGCTAAACAAGGCACGGCACTTAGTTGTTGTTGTTGTTGTTGCTGCTGCTGTTGCTGCTGCTGCACCTGTTGAATATCTTCACCTTCCTCTTTCATATCATTTCTGTTTTAGTTTTAGTAACAGTTTTACGTCACCTGTAACATAAACAGATCATATTATGAGTGCCAACGATTAAAGGCATTACGAAAGTAACAATATATAAAGAGAAAAAAAGAGGAAATAAAGAGGATAGATATTTGATGACAGGCGCCAACCACAAAAAAGCAGACACCAAGCCCTCCCCCTCCCTCCCCCTTTCCGGAAAAAAACGAGGGAAACCCCCCCCACAAAAACACCAACTATTTCCTACCTTTCAAGCGGGCAAAGTAGTTTGAGTTATGAGTTTCTTTGTGTGTGCAGAAAGTTGTTTGGGTTTGTTTGTTTTTGTTGTTTGTTTTGTTTTTTGGTTGCTGTTGTTTTGGGTTTTTTCGTGGGGTTTTTTTTGTATTTTTGTATTTTTGTATTTTTTTTATTTTTTTTGGGGGGGGGAGGGGTTCCTGACCTTCTCGCCAATTTCCGCGTTTTCGCCGCCGATGAGGATCTCCAAGTCGTGCTGCAGAGCGCAGGCTTTGATGACGCGCGTGTAGCGACTGTGGTGGTAACGGCGGTCAAAGAGGATGTTCTGCTTCACCGTCATGTTCTGGATCCAGGCCTGCTGGGGCACATACGCCATGCTGCCCTGCGGGAACAGGTGGGGGGGGATGTGTGTCTGTGTGTGTGAGAGAGAAGGGGGGGGGGGGGGGGAGGAAGAGAGAAATTATTTGTCACAGTGCTTACAAAGTCGCCCCACCCTCTCCTTCCCAAGATGTGCGATCTCCATTAGGACGGAGGCAATTGGACAGAGAGCCTTTTCAACTCCCTAAACAACAAACAGTACAAGAAGGTCAAGTTGGCGGTTTAATGGAATTCAGTTCTTCTGCTAACGACAGCTAAGCGCTTAGCCACAGACGGTGGCCTTGAGGCCAAAGAAATAATAATCATTAATGACAGTAATCCTTTAACTGAAGTGTGTAGGATAACAATAGCAATTAAATCAAAAGTAGGTGAGTGGCCAATTGCGTCAGCATTATTTGCAGAGTATCTGTGTAAGATAAACTTTGACTTACGAACTTTTAGTTTTAATAAGAGTTTCATGGCATTTGCAACACAATAAAATGATATAAGTGCAGAAGATTAGAAGTGTTACAAGAGAGTAACAAACACAAAATGTAGGAGAGATCAGGACGACAGATTTTTGTAGGAAAGAAGGAGCAAAACACAACAGAGCACCCGCCAACCACCTGCTGACCTTCGCACTTACCCTCACTGTGACGTCACCGGATACTTTCTCAACCTCTCCCAAGATGGCGGAAAGCAAAGAGGATTTGCCAGCGCCCATCTGACCAACAACAGCGACAAGTTTCCCTTCCGGGATGTTCAGGTCAATGCTGAAATGTTTTTTGTTGTAGTATGAATTTTACGGGGTTTCTTCAACAATTAGGTCATACAGTGCCAAAGATTAGAGGTGTTGCATCTATCGTCCTTATCTCCCCTTCTTCTTTTTTATATTTGTTACTCTCTTGTAACACCTCTAATCTTCTGGCGCTCATATGATCTAATGCAGTTGCGAGTGCCGTAAAACCTCTACTAAAACATTTAAAAAAGATGTGTTACAAGAGAAAAACAAATGCATAAAAAGGAAAGGAGGTGAGATGGAAACGATAGATGGTTGATAAGAAAGAAGGAGCAAACCACACCACAGCACTCGCCAATCACCCTCATATAATTTGTCTTAGGTATGGCAGTTGAAATAGTGTCGTGAGGTCTCTAACTGACAACAAAAACAACAACAACAACAACAACAACAACAATAGCAACCCCCCAATTTTGCATTTTCATAGAATGACTAGTAACAGATGATTTAAATCTGGGAAAGAGTAGGACAGACAGGAACGATAGAGAGAAAGAAAGGAAGCAGGACTTTAAGCAAGCAATAGCCCCTCCAACCATCCGCTCTAAGAGCAATGACAACGGCCTTTTAATAAGTTGGGCCTACCTAATACACTCAGGTCTTACCATAGCGGCTAAAAGAGATAGGGGACAACAATGAGAAGATTCAACCAGTGCATATGTGTATATGAAATTACAAACAAACACACGCACACACACACACACACACACACACACGATTCTTTCACGACTTACTTTTTCAAAACTGGTGGCATGTTTCGGTCCCAAAGGAAAGTTCCGTTTGAAATAGAAATGCCCTCTGAGGAAATTAAAAGAGAAACAAGAACCAATCAATGAATTTAAAAGTAAGAAAAAAACAGTGAATTTAATCTTACACATTTCAAGTCTCCTTTTGAAACTCACTTTTTGCGAGACAGTACAAGCACAGCTTTTGACGTTTTCCTCATGTCCCTTTTCATAGAATAAAAGTATGTACACATTTTTTAGAAAGTAGATCGTATAACACCCTATTCAATTCTATTCCAGTTTTTTTTAAATGATTTTATAAGTGAGTGAGGTTTAAGTAGTTTTAAAAACAGTAAAATGAATATTAGAATGCGACAAAAAAGACTCAATTGCGAACGCAGGACACTCTTCTTTGTAGGTAATATTATGTGAAACTTTGGAACTGTTTTCCAAATTAATGTAAAACCCAAATTGATGTCGTGTGAAAAATGTATTGAAACGATCAGTGACATGAAACACAACCAAAACAGCTAACTTGTTTAACTTAAAATATGATTTACTTTGTACTTAAGTACTGTAAGTTCGTTTCTCGCTTAACCAATGTTATAGACAGTTTTTACTATTGTTTTTATTGCAACTACCTTTGTTTCTTTCGTAGCAAACAAAAAACAAATACAATTAAAACATTTCAAAACAAACACACAAAAATTCCCCAAAGGTAATTGTACTGCGGTGCCTTGTTGTACAACTTCTATCGTTTCTATTATCATACACATTTGATCGCTTTTAAGGATAAGCGGGCTAACCAGGGGTTGCCAGAAATCTTGACCTACAACAAAAGTGGGCGCTGCACTACCTATAGGAGAAGTTGGGCTTCATTGGTGTGTATATTTGTTCGGTTATAGAGAAAACTCTCCTTGTCTTTTAAAGAAACTGAACAAGGTTCCATAAACGTTACCTTCGATTTCCTCAAAACAGCATTTTTTGGGGGGGATAGCCCCTTTGTGCTTCAAAGTGATCATTTCCAGTTTAATTCTCTTTCTCATTATCATTCTCATTATTATCAATTATTATTATTATTATTATTATTATTATTATTATTATTATTATTATTATTATTATTATTAATATTACCTTCCTTATGACTCTTATTGTTATCAACATCATACCATTACAAGTAACGTGATTACAGGTAATATCCCCCTTCTTATCGTTGTAGTTTAGTCGTCGTTGCCGTCTTTGTCGTTGTCGACCACCTTTGCCTGCTCCTCCTCCTTCTCCTCCTCTTCTTCCACCTCTTCCTTCTTCTTCTTTTTTTTTCTTTTTCTCCTCCTCCTGCTCCTTCTCCATCTCCACCTCCGCCTCTTCGTCCTCGTTCTCCTCCTCCTCCTCCTCATTATTATCATCATCATCAATTTTATCATCATCAACATCATCATCAACATTAACATCAACATCAACAGCGGCAGCAGCAGCAGCAGCAGCAGCAGCAGCAGCAGCAGTAGCAGCAGTGGCAGCAGCAGCAGTAGCAGGTGCAGCATAATAATCATTATCATTTTAAATATTGCACAGTAAGAAATAAACATGAAGACTTGGATTTGTTCGTTGGTTTGGGTAAATGTTTTGACACTAATAATGGACTGCATTAATATAGCGCATATCCACTTATGCAATGCTCTATGCGCACTGTTGGCTCAGTTTTGGTTAGAAAACTTGGATTGTTTAAGAGAGAGTCATGGTCTTATTAACTACTAGGCCTAGTTCATATATGTTTCAAAATTTAACCCAGTAGGGCTTCATCATGAGCATAATCCAAACAAAATTAATTAAATTATATTACAAAGGTGCTAACCAAAAAAAATTAATACAGGAAAACACAGAGAAAATGAAGTAGCGCTATAAGCCTAGCTTTATCCTTCATACCCTTATTATTATCGTTTTTATTATTATTATTGTTATTATTATTATCATTATCCTGATCATTATCCTTATTATTATTATTGTTGTTTTTATTATTATTATTGTTATTAATATATTATTATTATCATTATCATTATCATTATTATTTTTACTATTGTTATTACTATTATACCATTATTATTATAATTGTGGTGTTGAAATGTAGGAAAACAAAAGGAAGTCTCTCTCTCTCTCTCTCTCTCTCTCTCTCTCTCTCTCTCTCTCTCTCTCTCTCTCTCTCACTCACTCTCTCTCTCTCTCCCTCTCTCTCCCTCTCTCCCTCTCGGAGAAGTATATAACAGTAAAATGGATAGGGTGAACTCTTTTAGTTTTAGTGAGAGTTTTACGGTACTTGCAACACAATAAGGTCATAAAAGTGCCGAAGATTAGAGGTGTTACAGGAGAGTAACAAACACAAAAAAGAAGGAGGAGGGATAAAGACGATAAATTTTTTATAGGAAAGAAGGAGCAGACAACACCATAGCACCCGCCAATCACCCACCGGGGACTCAAAAGTTCACTCATCATCATCATCATCATCATCATCATCATCATCATCATCATCATATGTCCTCCCCTCCCTCCCTTCCCCCCACCCTCCCTCCCACTCTCTCTTCGTTCCTCTCCTCCCTCCCTCCCTCCCTCCCTCTCTCCCTCTCCATCCCCCACCTCCATCTCTCTCTCTCTCTCTCTCCATTCCTCCCCTCCCTCCCTCTTTCACTCACTTTTGTCGTATGTCTTCAGTCGCAGGGACCGCACCTGGCCCTCAAAACTGCTCTTCTCGGCCATGGACTCCCGATTGACATTGCTGGAGTCAAGGTCTTCCCCAGACAGGAACTTGCGGAGTCTCCCAATGGAGACGTGGGCCTGAGGACAAAGTATTTTTTTTTCTAAGAGTGAAATTGAGTTTTTGACTGAGTTTGAGTAAAGAAAAGCACATCGATACGATAATGGTTGTTGTTTTTGTAGGTTGTTTTTTTAAATTCTAGTTTTAGTGAGAGTTTTACGGCACTTGCAACTCAATAAAGTCATAATATAAGTGCCGAAAATGTTTGTTTCAGTAACAGTTTTAGAGCACTTGCAGCACAACAAGGTCATATAAGTGCCGAAGATTCGAGGTGTTACAAGAGAGTAACAAACATGTTACTAGGGAAACATACAAAGAAAAGCACAAACAGAGATAAGAAGGCTAGACATTTAAGAGAGAAAAAGGGAGCACAACATAAAAGTTTTACGGCACTTCCATCTCAATTAGTTCATACAAGTGCCGAAGATTAGAGGTGTTATAGAACAGTAACAAACACACCAGAGCACCCGCCAACCACCCGCTGCCATCTGGCACGGGTTGTTTCAGAATGCTCTAAGGTCTGCTGGGGTAATAGTATAGACTGTGAAGGGCATAGAGCTTGCTGTTGGGCGGGGATTTGCGCTACACAAATGTTCTATATTATTATTATTATTATAATTATTATTATTATCATTATTATTATTATTATTATTATTGTTATTATTATTATTATTGTTATTATTATTATTATTATTATTATTATTATTATTATTATTATCTGCGAGTATCCTTACCGAAACCAGATCAGTGATGATGTTGGGCAGCCGGTTCATGGGTATGGAGAGGATGTTGAAGAGGATGAGGGAGACGAAGGCCGTGTTGGAGTCCAGGACGCCGTCACTGGACACGAAGATATACGTCACAAACGTCGTGGTGGTCACCTGGGGAAACGGACCAGGCCGGTCAGTACATTCTTGTACATCGTGCAAATCACACATCGTCAACAGGCTGTCCAACTGCTTAAGTTTTAGTAAGTGTTTTACGGCACTTACAACACAATAAGGTCATATAACTGCCGAAGATTAGAGATGTTACAAGAGAGTAACAAACACAAAAAAGAAGAAGGAGAGATAAGGATGATAGATGTTTGATAGGAAAGAAGGAGCAAACCACACCAGAGCACCCGCCAACCATCCACGTGTTTGAGTCTGAGTGAAGTAGAAGCACACCGATACGATAACGGTCTTGTTTAGTTTATAGTTTTAGGTTTTGTAAAAGTTCCGCCTCACCTGAAACACCATTAGGTCAAACAAGTGCCCAAGATTAGAGGAGTCACAAGAGGAACACAATTACAAAAAAGAAGAGGGATGAATAATGGACGATAGGTCTTTGATAGGAAAGAAAGAGTAAACCACACCGGCGCAGTTGCCAACCACCCACTGTCCAACTGTTGTGGCCTCAATTTTATGTGAGTACAGACTAGCACATTGACAGATTAATGGCACTTTAATGCTGGGGAAAAAATGACAGACAGACAGACAGTAGCAATAAATGGAAAGTAAAGACGTAGGAGCTACAAGTGGCGCGGTCAAACCGGTCTCTTTAATCCCAGAGAGCAATTCTTTTTTCAGGCAGGAGACAAAACTGTTTTAATGAAGTGCCTTTCAAAAACAGAATGTGAGTCTTTTCTTGCTTCTTTAAAATTAACAAATTAAAATTTAACGACTAGTTTTGCGAGCACATGCAACCGAAAGCGCAGAACAAGAAACACCAATACATCTGTACAGTTGGCCAACGATATAAAGGCTTCTTTGGTAATAAATATCACACGATATGGAGGTAATAAAATATATTAAATGGTACATTTTCAAAAGCAAATCACACAATTAGGTTTGTTTGATATTATGAAAAAATGTCCTCCTCCTCCTCCTTCTCCTCCTCCTCCTCCTTCTTCTTCTTCTTCTTCTTCTTCTTCTTCTTCTTCTTCTTCTTCTTCTTCTTTTTTTTTTTTTTTTAACACTGTTAACATTTACAATAATTGCTATTACCAGTAACACTAGTCTACAAATTTTGAAAACGTTTCAGCTTCAGGGCCCCACCAAAAACAACGAAACAAACAAACAAGCAAACAAAACAAAAACAAAAACAACAAACAAAAGAGCCAAACAAACAAACGAACAAAACAAAAAAAACAAGAATTTTAAGAAAACACAGCCATTTTGCCAACAATAACTTCCTGACTTCCTCACCAGCACAGGCGAGCAGAGCCAGCTGAAGACGTTGATGATGTTCAATATGGCGGCCGACCTCAGCAGCTTCAGCTCCCGGCCCCTCAGAGACCGGATACGGTCCTCGAACGACGTCTCCCAGGCGTACAATTTCAGCACCTGTTTAGCAAGAGTTTGACGGTATGTGCAACACAATAAGGTAATGACGTAAATTTCAGCGCATGTGGAACATATATAATAAATATATTTCACATTTCAAAAACATATCTGCATGGATACCGCTAAGTTTTGGTACAAATTTTACGGTACCGGCAACACGAAAAATTCATACTATAAATAGGCCCCTACGAAAGATTAGAACTTTGTTTGTTTGGGTAAGCAAAAGCACATTGACACTATTATGGTCATTTAGTGGTGGGATGAAGTAATGGTTTAGTTTTAGTAAGAGTGTTACGGCACTTGCAACACAATAAGGTCATAGAAGAGCCGAAGAGTAGAGGTGTTACAAGAGAGTAACAAAGATAAAAAGAAGGAGGGATGATAGAGACAATAGATTTTTTTTTATAGGAAAGAAGGAGCAAACCACACCAGAGCACCCGCCAACCACCCACACAGAAGACCTTTGGGAGGCATCGTGGTGTAATCAGACGCTAGCCAAAGTTATGATATCAAAGATATCGGGACTTTTTCAACAGTCTTGCAATTTTTAGCCAATTTTCGGGGATCAACACCTTTTATATCCATTTTGAAACACTTTTCACTGTGGATTTTACTGGGAAAACGTTGATTAAAGACACAAATTTAAAAAGTAAATGTTCACTTTTCAAGGACTCTCAAGCTATTGAAACCAACAAACTTGAACGACCATCTCCTCGCAACCTTTACGTCTGAAACCAGGCGACCTCACCTCGTTGAATTGCAAATACCTAGTCTTCTATTCAAGACACATGAGTACTTTTTCACCGAATAATAGACAAGTGAACAACCTCTAAGATGATGCCAATAGCTCCACATGCTCAAGAAACTTTATTTTAGTTTTAGTAGAGGTTTTACTATGAGCGCCAGAAGATTAGAGGTGTTACAAGAGAGTAACAAACATAAAAAAGAAGAAGGGGAGATAAGACGACAGATGTTGGATAGGAAAGAAGAAGCAGACCACACCAGAGCACCCGCCAACCGCTCAAGAAACTGACGAGTGCCCGATTCCACCCCGTCGTGACCCATTTAAAGAATAAAAACATACCTGCGTGGACGCGGTTAAGTTTTAGTACAAAGTTTACGGTACTTGCAACACAAAAAAGGTCATAATATAAGTACCGAAGATTAGAACTTTGTTTGTTTGAGTAAGCAAAAGCACATCGACACACTTATTATGGTCATTTAGTGGTGGGATAAAGTGATGTTTTAGTTTTAGTAAGGGTGTTAAGGCACTTGCAACACAAGAAGGTCATAATGTAAGTCCCAAAGATTTGAGGTGTTACAAGAGACAGACAGACAAACACAAACAAAAAACAAGAAAAAAGTAGGATAAGAATGATAAGGATTAATATTTTAAATATGAAAGAAAGAGTCAACCACACAAAATCACCCGCCAACCAGCACTTCCTACCTTGATACCGCTGAGGATCTCGTTCATGATCTTTAACCTCTCGTCCTTGACCCTCAGCTGCTCCGCCTGGGCCCGCTTCGCCAGCACGGAGATGCGCGCGTTGAGCGGGATGAGCGCCACGATGACAGCCACGCCCGCCACAAACGACACGCCCAGTTTGTCGTTCAGGAAGTAGAACGCCATGCAGATCTAAAGGAAACAACAAAAAAGAGGGGTGATGAGGTAGGGGGGGGAGGTGGGGGAAAGAAGCGTGACAGAGCGGAGACAGAAAGAGGCAGA